CCGAGTAGTAAGGTAAGCTCCCATTTTTCTATGGTTTCTTTGTTCGCTAATGGATTGCCTTGACAGGAAAGGTGGTAGTTTATTTCCTTCTCAAAGCGGAACTTTGAATATATAGCTCAAAGTCAGGCAAGCGTTGGAGCTTTGTCACTTAACCTTCGTATTTTTCTCTCTTTGTTAAGATCGATGCCCAGATGCTTGATCCTGGCACAATGGTAAAAAACTTCTGGTGCCCCACCTCGAAGGATAGTACATCTAGAAATAAAAAATGGAAGGAAAGCAGAAAAGTCTACATTGGGACGGACTGAGCATGGACAGGCTTGCGTACGCATATAAATCAGAGGTAAGCGATCAATCGATCCATTCTCGCTCGCAATGCATCTCCATCGACGTTCTGCGTTTCTCCTGATGATATCGATATCTCTTGTGTTCTTCACCAGGGGGATCCTCGCGCCGCCGCCACGCCTGGGCCTCTTCCTGCGCAGGGCTTACTACAACAGGCTCACAGTGGCTGAGGTGAGAGAGCTCATCGGAAGGATCTTAGAATATGTACGGACCTTGAACCTCCGCGAGGTTCGCGTCAACGAGCCCATTGCGTGGGCGGTCACACTGACGGGGAACGTCGTGGTGCGAGTGCAGCTGCTGGTGATGAACCAGATATGGGGGGAAGATCGCGGGGGGATATGCTCCATGCCTTCCTCCAGCAACGTGTATCCGTTTGGGGATATGGTAAACGCTGTGCGTGAGATGGGGGAGTCTATCTTCTACGAGCTTTTGGATCGAGAGCGGTGGTACGGCGCGGTAGAGATTGTGTTGAGGGCTTTTGGGATCACGTATGAGGTGCAGAGGGACGAGCTCTTGGCTCTGGGTGCTGGCTATGGAATCATGAGGGAGTGTAATGTGTATTGAGGAAGTTAAGGCTTTTGCTTTATAGACTAAGCAATTAGTTAGACTTGTTTATTAAAGGTAAATAGATATTACTAATATTTGATTCCTTGGCATGTCCAGCGGAAGTAGTCAGATTAAAAGTTTGCTAGCTCATCAATAGCTATATTAGCCATTGTAAGCTCATATGTAGAGTGTTCCATTTCAGACCTTTACCAATCATTCTGAAATGTACTTGCATTTCCATGCAGAAGAAATTCTTCTCACAGTTCTGGGGTAGTTGTTCACGGCCATACAACAAAGATGCAGATACTCCAACTAGAAGGAGTGGTGTTGCACCAACTTCTGCAGCATTTAGCAGTGCTTGATCATCAGGCACTGAGGTGAAGACTTGTCCTATCCACCAAGTTTTAGCAAAGCTTCAAATGTCAAAGACTCAAGAAACTAGAATGTCATTTCTGACGTTGTAATGTTCATGTAGCAATGTTCCCCACAAAAGCTAATTTGTATGGTATGGTTTTGCCTACTAGGGCTGGATGAACCCATCATATGGTACTCTCATACTTCTCTAATAAGTACCATGTAAAACCTGTTTCAAAACTAAAATTCCATGTCAAAGCATTTATAAATCAATATATACTTGTGTTTGTAACCAATCTACAAGTTAAAGTGGGAAAATTCTTGTAAATTCAACAATGGTCCTTGATTTTAAGCATTTGCCCTGCAAAAGGAAATTGTGGCATAACTTTAACTCCACTCTCCTAGACATAATCTCGGGCTAACATTTGTCCCCAAATCAACAAGCTAAAACACAAGTATTGAATTTTTAAACATATTCAAAGTTTAGAATTTATATTCAAGGTAGCGTACATCAAGAAAGATCTCAAGACTGATATAGTGAAACAATTTAAATCTCAAGCAAGAGGGATCTGTCATCCAAGGAGATAATAATGCTAGATGGAGTGTGGCCACAAGGCCATCCAACTCCTTCACATCCATGTCTCCTGTGAGCTGAAGTTTAGAGTCCTCTCAGAAGCTGGTAGTGTGGTGCTTGTCAACGCACCTCCACCTCCTACTCCCCCTAAATGCAAGAGCACAAAGTTCCTTGTAGGTGAGCTGGCCTTCATATTGTAAATTATATTCTAGTGGGAATTTTGAACCTACTAAGCCTTAAAAACTGACGTCACAATCAGAGAAATCTAGACCCATGCAAAAGATATGACATACATTATCTTAAAAATTTTATTTACCATTTCAAGGTGACAATCTCTATGTATATTAGGGATGAAAAAGGACTAAGCTGGCTTGGAATTGAGATATTTATTAGGAGCAGATAAAAAATGGGGACTATTGTTGCATTAACAAAGCTTCTTTATTTCTTGATCCGAGCCAAGCCTCCTTGACCTTGCCTTGTAGTAATCCTTGCTCTATTATGCCTAATATTTCCCAGCTTTGTTCCATCTACAGAGCGGAAACGGCTACCCATAAATGATATTCCAAAGCAAAAACCCCCATCAATAATATTGAATCGATGTTTTTTCAAAAGCCCAACCACAGCCTTATATAGCAAAAATTGACAAGCATGAGCATAATGGCAACACACTCTAGTAGGAATTTTGAACCTCTCATGTTTGTCATCTAGAATTACATAGGTGTCTGATGTTACAAGGGGTGCCACCTAGGCACCAAATCAACCTCACATGGGCCCATGTGCAAAAGATATGGAACAGAACAGCATGCATTTGTACGTATTGCTTGCTCAACTCCCATTTTAGAGAATCCACTTGACTTCTAGGTAAGAGTTCAAAACTAATTAAAGCTAGGTGTTTGCTAATGGTTTACAACATTGCCTTTGCAGAAGAGGCATTAGTTTATTTTTTCTAAAATGCAAAACTTGCCTACTATACAGATAAGCTTTCAAGCTTTAACACTACATATAAAATATGTATAAACTTCTATGCCCCATTTTGAAGTTACATGTTTAGAAGAAATATATAATTGAAGGAAATCCAAGGCTCTTCTCTTAGGTTGTGAAATTATTCTCTATGGTTAGTCAGTTCTAATATAACATATTTTAAATCTTGTTATATCCAACGAAAATATAAGTTAAGTGTCCTTGATCATCATATGTAGATTTTCTTTTCTCCTTGATTAAGTTTTTACCACTAATAAAAATATTAGATCAAATATATGGTATGTGGTTTCACATCTCCAGGCCCCAATGTGTCCAGCCCTAGATATGTCAAGCTCGAAATATGTCAACACTTCATACACTCATGGTGGGATGCTTCTAATGTTATTCCACTTTGAGTCCTTTGTTTATCTCTTTCAGTTTGTAGGCCATGCCTCTTTAACCACTTCCTTTTTTATAGTTAAAGAGTTAAAAATATAAAAAGTAAATAGAAAAAGTATAAAAAGGTATGGCAAGAATATTTGATTTTTTTACTTTCCAAGTCCCTCAATACTGATTATATTCTCTAGTGATTCCATAGCCAACCCAAAGACAGGAGCTCATCCCTCTGCACTACATAGATGATCCCAAAAGCCCTCAACACAATTTGCACTACACCATACCACCACTCTGGATCCAAAAGCTCATAGAGGATAGATTCCCTCATCTCATCAACAACAGATATAAGGGAATGGAGTATATTCCTTTGAGATAGGCCCTGTTTATCACCAGCAGATTGCATCACAAAGGTTATCTAGGTGGCACAAGATTGCTAATAATAATAGATGCTTTGGTTGTTTTACAATGACATTGGTTCTATTTGTAAAGCTAACTCACTAGAAAAGCATCAGTACTAACACAAACATTGCAGAGGTTAAGTGCTATAAAATTCTATAACTGCTTTGATTAGCTGAGACTGTTGTAAAATGACTTTAGCTGCGGCTTATGAAAAATTATTTTAAAATAAAGTGATGTTTTAGGATAACTTAGTTCTCATTTGTAATAGAATATTTTTATTAAGCTAATAGTCTCTAATATGGATACAGCACCAAAAATCATGAAAGAAAGGAATATCTCACCAAACAAAAAATCCTGAAACTTGTGCTAAACCTTTTCCTGAAACTTTGTCAAAAGCCATATGGAAATAATGTAGAGCTAAATTGTGTTTTTTAGGTTGTGACAAAATCCACTTGTAATGATCAAAAGACCTTTTTCACACAATGTGGAAAATCTCAAGAAATCCTTCTAAACTTCATCAAATGATGAAATTATGAGTTAGCACCAATCTTCACTATTGATCTGAGAATTTATAATTCTTGTGATCAGTACATAGAGTTCAGATTGGTAGAGTTAAGAAATCTCTTTAAACATCATTAAATTAGCACTAATCTTTCAAAAAAGCTTGTTGTGTGTGTCACAAAAGAAAACTATTGATTTGAGAACTTGTAATTCTTGTTATCAGTATATAGAGTTCAGATTATATGAAAAACAAAAAAATTAAAAATTAAAAATCAAGAAGAAAGGTGTGAAGGAGGCCATCTTTGTAAATATCAAAAGTAAATTTAAAAAATTCCAGAGATATTTCACTTCATGTGTAATTACAAATTTGCAATGCATTTCCACAAGCTCCTCATGATATCTCACTAAGGAGTCCACATGCACCACTCAACAGGTGAAAGAGCTTGCTGGAAAGATCATAGAATATTTAGAGAACTAGAACCTCCACAAAGTTCTTGTCAACGAGTAAATTGAGTGGGCAGTCACACTGATTGAAATGTTGTGGTGCAAGTGAAGCTGCTTGTGATGGACCAGATATGAGGGGACAATCACGGGGAATATGCTCCATTCCCTCTTGCCGTACAACGATCCATTTGGTACACCGTATGTAGCTCTTGGATCGAGAGAGGTGGTACGGCCGGGTAGAGATTGTGTTGAGGGCTTTTGGGATCACCTATGGGAACGAGCTCTTGTCTCTGGGTGGTGATCACAAGGGAATGTAATGTGTATTAAGGAAACATAATTCAAGGTGGTGGGAAGACTTTAAATTATTAATGCTTAAGTACAGCATAAATATTATTCTATCTGACAAAAAAAATCCTTTTAGGTTCGCAAAATATTCTATTGTTCTAGAATATACTCGAATATTTGTGCCCTAGAAAATCTTCTGCTGGGGAAGAGGAAGAATGCGCCACTCATGCTGCTGCTCGCGAGATTATCGCCAGCTCTCCACAGCAGGGAATGCGCACAGTCCGCGGGAGGAGGAACGAAGAAGGTAATACGCGATTCTAGAGTGGAAATCACCAAAGACTCCATTCTTTCCAGGGAAGTTCTACCGATGCGTTGAAGATCTATGAGAGAATCAGGAGGGATGGAGCCACGCCCAGCGTGCCAATCACTCTGGCAGCGCTCAAGCTGTGCAGCAGCTCCAGATATCTGGAAGCCGGGCGGACAATCCACCGCGAGCTCAGTGATTCGCGAGAGATGGCAAATATTTTCGTGGTGAACACCCTGATCGACATGTACGCCAAGTGTGGTAGCGTCGGCGAGGCTCGGCAACTCTTCGAGATCACTGCCACTGCGCGCTCCTCCACGGTGGTGTCCTGGAACGCGATCATCGCCGGCTACGCCGATTGCGGCGAGCCTCGCGTCGCGCTCGAGCTCTTCCAGCGGATGCTAGACGAGGGATTTCGACCGGATGGCCGGACTTTCGTGGCGGCACTGCGAGCTTGCGCGATCCTGGCACTGGAAGAGGAGGATCGCCAGATTGGCGAGGACAACGTCAAGAGCAAGCTCCTGGAGAGAGGGATGGCTCTACACTCGCAGGCGTGCTGCTATGGGCTGGAATCCAACGTCTACGTCGCGAATACGCTGGTGGACATGTATGGGAAGTGCTCGAGCATGGCCGACGCGAGGAGGGTGTTTGATCGAAGCTGCCACTGCGTGATCTCGTGGAACACGCTGATGATGGGATACGCCGAGAGTGGCGATGGTCAGGAGGCGCTGGATCTCTTCCAGCGGATGGAAAGTGAGGGATTCCGGCCGGATGGTCGGAGCTACACCGCTGCGATCAAGGCCTGCGCGAGCTTCGCGTCGAGAGAAGATGGAAAGCTCTTAGAAGTCGTAGATGGTAGCACCAGCAGCGAGGGTGGCACCAAGATCAAAGATGGTAACAACGATGGTAGCACCGAGATCCAGGATAACAGCGATGGTAGCTCCAGAATGACTGAAGATGGTAGCACTAAGCTCAAGATCGCTGGAAGAACCACCAGAGTTTTCAAAGCTGGAGCGCTCGAGAGGGGCTTCTACCTCCACGCTCGAGCTGCCGGCGATGGATTCCAGTCCAGCGTCTTCGTGGCCAACGCGCTCATCGAAATGTACGGCAAGTGCGGCACCGCGGCAGACGCGCGGCGGATATTCGACGCCATGGTAGACCGCAACGTGGTGACGTGGGCGACCATGGTGCTGGCATATGCCGAAAATGGCGACGCCGGGCTCGCGCTGCGTCTCTTTCGTACGATGCGCGAGGACGCCGGGTTGGTGCCCGACTCGGGCGCTTACATCGCGGCGCTCAAGGCGTGTGGAGCGCTGGCGGATCTGGAGCGGGGGCGGAAGCTCCACGAGGAGATCGCGGCGCGGGACGATCTGGCCGCGCACTCGATCCTGGAGACGTGCGTGCTGGATTTCTACGCCAAGTGTGGCAGCATGGGCGAGGCACGCCGGGTGTTTGATTCCATGCCCCGCCGCGATCTCGTCGCCTGGAACGCTCTCATCGCCGGGTACGCCGATCAGGGGGACTTCGATCGCTGCTTCCAGCTCTTCGACGACATGGGCGCCAAGAACAGTGGAGTCCGCCCGGATGGAGTGACGTTCCTCTCGATCCTCTCGGCCTGCGGCCACGCGGGCCTCGTGGATCGAGCCAGATTCTACTTTGCGCTGATGCGATCGCCGCGGTTCGGGGTGGATCCCAGCGTGGAGCACTACAACTGCATGGTGGATGTGCTGGGGCGCGCGAATCAGCTGGGCGAGGCCATGGCGATGGTGGAGGAGATGCCGCACGGGGGCAATGTGAGGCTGTGGACGTCGCTGTTGAGCTCGTGTAGGAAATGGGGCAATGTGCGCGTCGGGAAGATCGCGTTTGAGGCGCTCCTGGCGCTCGACGATCGAGGATCCCCGGCCTACGTCCTCATGGCCAACAGCTACGAGAACGACGGGTTTCTAGGGTTCTTGAGCAGAAATTAGGGCTTCTTTGACTTTTTTGGTCAAATTTTGACTAGGCTGGTCAAAGGGGGGAAGGTATGATTCCCGACAAAGACAACACACGCGGGACGCGTCGGCGCACACGAATCCTTCGCGCCTCCTCCAACCAATTCCTTCTTTTTCAAAGTACACCAAAGCTTTTTGATTGATTGGAAAAACTATTTCAAAGATTACAAAAGTTTACAAGGGGATCAGCTTGAAATATATATGTACAAAAGCTCTGCCGAGAAGCGAAGGGGAAAGGGGAAAATTTTTTCTTGCTCTCAACCGACTTAACCGATCGAGAATCGAGAAGGGAGAAGGAGAGGCACTCACTAGATTTCTTGTGTACAAGAGAGAAGAGGGGCGACGAAACCAAATGGAGAAAAGAGACGATGACGATGATAATCCGAGGCTCTTTGCCGGAGGAGAGTGCTTGCTTTCGCTGGAACGATGATCCTCGTTCTTATTTGGTTGAAACACCTGTGCTAGCAGCAGCGCAAGATCTCTCTCGCCAGCTTACGAGAGAAAAAAGTATACAACCTCCTTGTGAGTTGTGACGATGGAGGAGGAGAGATGAAAACGAAAGAACTTTGCCAAAATCACCAGCTTGCCTGAAGTAGTAACTTGGGCGATGGAAAATTTGAGGACGAAGAGGAAAAATAACGCGCAGCTCCCCCCCTATGCCAGCGCCGAGACGCTCCTCGAGTCCGGACCGGATGGAACGAATCCTTCCACTCGGACCGGAGGCTTGGACGCTCGGGCCGGCTCGCGGACACTCTTTTGCTGCTGGGAGCATATCAGAGGAGACGCGGCCGCGGTGGCGGCGGCGTTGCTGCGCTGGTGTGTAAACTGTACATCATGTATAAGTGGGTTGCCTGCTCGGCTCGGTGGCGAGCCACAAAAATATGGTGGAGAACAACAAAAATTTGATGATTCCCCGGAGGAGGCCTGGCATAGGAAAACAAAACAAGAGCTGTGTGTCAGCGACCAAGCCCAACTCTCTAGATCGAACAAACCACTCTCCGCTTACCTTCCTCAGAAAAATGTCAAGGATCTCAAAGCCCACATCCCCGTCACTAGAAACGAAAGAAAAAACAAGAGAAGAGTTAGCACCAAAGACGAAAGAGAAGAAGAGAAAGTTCCTCCATCGTACCCGCAGTGCATTCGCGTGGAAGGATGGGGCTTGAGAGGCTCCGGAGAGAAGCAAGAGACCACGGTAGCCGGCCTTCTGGGCTTGGGACACACTAACTCTTCGTTGACTTTGCTATCTACATGGATCCCCGACCGGACGCGCCACCGCTCGTTCATCTCTCCCAAACTCTCTAGGATTTGCTCGGCATTGCCGAGGCTTCGGGGGGTATAGAAATCCAGCTTGCTCTTCGAGGGACTAGTATTTACAGCGGCTGTACACGAGAAAGAGAGCTCCACCACTCTATACATACAGGAGGAGCAGCGAGAGGGGAGAAAGGAGAAAAATTCCGAGGGAAATCTTACAAGAGCTCAGAGAAGGGGAAAGGGGGGGAATCAAAATCTGGGAGCGTACCAAAATGTGAGGCGTCGGCCGCGAGAAGAACACGGCGGCATAGATCCGCGCAAGCGGCGTCGAGCGGCGTGTGGCATTCGATCGATCGATCGCCCTCAAACCCTAAACTCTCGGAAACCCTCGGTTTCCAGTTTGGGCCGTCTTATCAGGACCGTCCAGCCAAAGCCATCGACGGTCGGTGGTCGTAAGGATAGGTCTGGGGCGAATCGTGGCCGTCGGTCTCCCGCCTTGGACGGCGGCGATGCGCCGCGTACCGCCAGACCTAAAGGGCTGAACGGCAGGCTGATGCTGTCCGTCGATCTGACCCAATGGACGGCCCAAGATGGTTGGCAACTTCCCTGGTAACTGCCCCCATCTTGGAAAGCAAAGATTGTGACAAATTTGCCCCTTCCAAGTAAGGTGGAAAATTTTCACCGCGAAATTTTCACATGAAACAGACGAAGGTGTGCTTGCCCTATTTTAGCTATGCCAGGTCGCAGGCTACCCTAGTTTGCGATGAGCGCTCTCGTCGCGCGCGGCTGGAGGCGAGCAGCGATCGTCGGCGGCGGCAACGCGCAACAATTCCTGGTATGTGGATGGATTACTGGTCGATCCATCGGGGCTGCGTTGACAGGGATGGAATTCTTGATTGTGTAGCCGATCGGACTGAGGAGCTCATCCAATCCATTCCGGGCCGCGCGGCATTTGTCTACTGCGTCTTTCATGCCCAAGAAGCCGCTGGATGGCATCGACAAGTTCCTCCTGGGATCGATTTGTTTGATGGGAGCCACAGTCGCGAAGGAATACTATGACTTTTCCCAGGAGCAGCGAGCATTGGTAGGAAGTCTTCTCTGTTTGCTGCTTCTTCTAAGCATGAGTGATGCTTTTCTAGGCTACCAAACACGAACCAAGGGCACACGAGGAGGAGGCTCCAAGGGATGTGAAGGCCGAGGTGGAGAAGGCCTACGAGGATCACTTGAAGCAGATCGAGGTACGATCTCTGGCCTTTCAAGCTGTAGCTGCTCACAATGGTTTTCAGGCAAAGTATGAGCAAGAATTAAAAGAAGCTCAAACAAAGGCATCGGACAGTGAAGCTCGTGCCAAGCAACTGGAAAAGGTATTGCTCTTTCTTCGTTTTTCACCAGCCAGAATTACAGTGTGTTACAGGAGCTTGAGAATGAAACAGCCAAGCACGCGTCAGAATTGAAGTCTCAAGCCGACATGATTGCGTCAAAGCTGCAAGAGGAGATCAAAACTCTGGTTGGTGTCGATAGCTTTTTCTTTTTCTTTTTGTGCTCATCCTCCGTCCGTTGGTGGGCATAGAAAGAAGAGGCTAGTGCCAACGCGAAATCCAAACAAAGTGAGGAAGCTGGCAAGGATAAACTTCGTCTTGTGAATGAAATTACAGAGCTCAAACGCCAGGTGATACTTTTCTTCCAAAGGAGGAAGTCACAACTTGACTTTGTTTGAGTTTTCAGGTAGAGGCTTTAGGCCTCAGCGGTAGCGACTTGGAAAAGAGCTATATACTGAGGAAGCTTGCTATGGTAATGGTATGAAATCAACCCTCCTCAGCCCTCGGTTCTGTTTTTTTACTCCCTTATTTTGCCACTAGTTGAGTATAGATGGATGTCACAGGGTGTGTTTGCGTTTGAGAACGCCATGCTCAATGGAGAGCCTCTAGAGAAGGAGGTGGAATTCTTGCGAGGAGGAGATTCTTTGATCGATGCTGCCATTTCCTCGTTACCGGAGGAGGCCCTCAAAGGAGGGTCGTCAACACCTTTACAGCTTCAAAACAGTGTACGTATATAAAAGAAATCTCTCCTTTCTGACCCCTTATGGCTTACTTTTTACGTTTACATTCCTATTTTTGTAGTTTGTGGAGTCGAAGCCAAAGCTCCGTGAGCTGATTCTCATTCCTTCCACTGGAGGTGGAGCAGTGTCACATTTGATTGCTCGCGGTGCTTCGAATCTCAAGGTATGTTTTTCTATCTACTTTTGCGTTTGGTCTTTCCTCTCTTTTTCACACACTGGAGTTGGACAGGTGAAAGAAGACAACCCTGACGATGGGGGCATTGAATCCGTGCTTGATCAAGTGGAGACCTTGATGAAAGACGGCAAACTAGTGGAGGCAGCGGTGGCTTTGGAGCAGAGTGTGGAGGGCACGGAAGCTCAAAGTTTGGTGATGGAGTGGGCCAAGCAAGCGAGGCTTCGCGCTGCGATCGAGCAAGTAAACGGCGTCTTACGTGCTCACGCTGCGTCCATTTCCATGAGCTTGGCGTGATCGATCGATCCAAGCGTAACCGGAGAGTGTAAAGACTCGCTCGTAATAACTGTCTCTCTTGATCATACAGATATGGCCACTGCGCAGCTCACAACAAAGCCAAATCCAAATACGAACATGGGGAACCCAACTCCGCCACCTTTTACATTCCTGTGGAAATCACTGGGAACTTTTGTGTGATTGCATGGAAGCCCACATAAGTGTATGTTTCCCTCCTAAATTTTTTATCTAAGAGGCTGGAGTTGACCACCTTGTGGTATCTGCCCCCATAAGTTGTTGAATGAAAGGTTTAAAGTGCTCAGAAAAGAGAGCAGCAAGAAAGTTTGTGGTTCTCTTTTTGGAACTTGTTCTGTGAGAGATCTAAAATCACCATTCTCCTAAACTCCCCGAGCTCAGCTGGAATTTTCCCTGATAGCAAGTTGTGGTCCAGTCTGAGGCCTATTAAATCGTCATTATAGGCCAATTATTGGACAGTTATAGAGATTTAAGGCCCTTGCATCTCATAAAGAACACAGTAGATAAATTGCCAGTTAGTTGGTTAGATGAAAGATCCAAAACCGCCAGCTTAATTCCAATCACAGGAAAAAATCCATGGAAAAGCTCTCCACCAACTTGATTGTTTAAGAACTTCATGATATATCTATAGCTTCTAGCAAGCATGGACTTATGCTGGAGAAGTTTTGATCTTTAAAAGTGCTGTCAAAAACATGAAGTTTGCGAAGGGAAGGCATGTTTGGTATGATGGAAGTGAGAGCTGAGCCTGAAAACTGAAGGCAACCATTTCTAGAACAAATTACACCTTCCCACTGGCAGATTTCTCTAGTTGAACTCCAATTTGTAAGAGATCCAAATTGATCATCCACCAAATCCTTGAGCTTTAATAGAGAAGCAGAATCACTCTTGAAGTATTTGCATATGCCATAGCAAAAAAGATAAAACTAAAATGCCACATGATTATCAATGGATTGTATGGTCAATATGGGTTGGGAAGTCCAATTCAATGTTAATTACACTAGTTTGCTACAAAAGTCTTTGGTGGAAAAAGTCAAGAGTTGAACTAAGTTGGAGAAAATTTGAAGTTGAATTGGATCATCCTTTATTCAAGATCTCAACCGCGTTTACAGTCTAATGAAGTTCCAAATCAACATTCGATTTTTATATGTATCGTTGGGTAATTTTGATGGGTTTTTTTTGCTCCAAATAATGACTATTAAATTAACTTTTTAAACTTTTAAATTACCCATAACCTATTATACTAACTTGTTAAACTTTGCTAACTTTTTTCCACTAAATTAGTGCTTCTATTTCAATTTCCTTCTTTTCTTTTTTTTTTTTCTATTTCTATTTCCTTGAGTTTCTCGACATTAGAGAATATGCCTCCAGCTAAACAATATGAAATTTTTTAAATGTGCCCTAATCTAATAATGCTGGATATGGCGGCCAAGCACTACTCTATCGCAGTTGTGGGCTTGGGCTGTATCGGATCGGCAGCGTGTCGTCATCTCTCCATCTCTTCGCCGGATCCGAGCACCATAATCGGTATTGGCGAGGCCGAGAGCACTCCAGGTACTGGCTCCAATTGTAGTTTTCCCACGGTTTTCTCGTCTCACTACGACCAGGGACGCATCACTCGAGTTGTGGATCCTGATGCCGTCTGGTCTCACCTCGCGGCCAAATCCATTTCCAACTATCCAGAAGTAGAGGCCAAGAGCGGCATTTCTTTTCACGGACGCGTCGGGTTTCTCAGAGTCTCTCCATTTTTCGGTGGTGCTGGGGATAGCCTGGCAAGATCACTTGAGGTTGGCCTCCAAAATGGTGCCGAGGCGGAGGTGGCGGACGATGCACGCTCTCGGTTTCCTTACTTTGGATTTGGAGACGAGGATGTTGCGGTGGTCGAGAACGGTGGTGCTGGCTACGTGAACCCGAGAGAGATGGTGAGAGCTCAGCTCGCCATCGCCAGAGAAAATGGGATCCGGCTCGTCCAGGAAACCGTGACGAGCATCGAGCGACTTGGAGAGGGTGGTGGTGTGAAGATCTCAACCAGACGAGGGACGAGTTTTCTAGCTGCCAGAGTCTTGATTTGCACTGGAGCCTACACAAACTTTCTTCTGCCGAAAAGCTTGCAGCTCGCGGTGAAGATCAGAGCCGTGTCAGTGGTGCTAGCGGAGATCGATGGCGATGAAGTGAAGAGGCTGGATGGAATGCCGTGCTTCATATGGCGGCTCAAGTCCAACCCGGTGCTTCATTCCGTGTATGGATGTCCTCCGATCCAGTATCCAGACGGGAGAACATACGTCAAGATTGGAGGCACTACTTGGCAGCCCAAGATCGTCTCCACGGAGGAAGAGTTTCTCGAGTGGTTCCGCGGCGCAGGCTGCAAAGTCGAGACAGATGCTCTGCTCGAGGTGCTGCTGCGGGAGCTTGTTCCGGGGCTGAGAGTGAAGAGCGTGAAGACGAAGCCGTGCGTCGTCTCCTACGCGGCCCGCAACTATCCTTACATGGACAAGCTCTCGGACGAGGTGTTCCTCGCGGCTTTCGGCTGTGGAGCCTCGGCAAAGTCCTCTGACGAGATTGGAAAGATGGCGAGCTCGCTGGTGTGCAACGGCGAGTGGTCCTACGATCAGCTCGACTCGTCGCTCTTCCGAGCAGTGTGCGAGTCCTCAACTTGAAGCTCTTAAAGGTCTGCTCTACAGGATCGGATATAAAGTGATCGAGCATTCTTTCTAGCCAAGGTGTTACTAGCGAGCGGGAGAATCTTTGTCCAGTGATCAAGTAAAGTGACAATATAACTCATTGCGAAAGTTTAATTCCCTGGTATCGTTCGTGCAGTCATGATCATTCTAAGTATATTCTACGCGAAAAAAATCCCGAGATGGATGCGTCGGTGGAGATTTACCATGCACGAATGTGGTCATCGCCGGGCCCCTTTAAAAAAGTCACCACTCCGTTTGGTGGCCTTCACGAGCTCGAGAGAGACATTGCAAAGCTTTTATCGGCGAAGTCGTGCAACAGAGATGGTGGTATATGCGCATACATCTCGTGGAGATATGCTTGCTGGGAACTGGCAGGTGTCGGTTGCTCTGTGGGCCGCCGACGCTCTGGGAACCGGCTATAGGGAGTTTACTCGTCGATCCGCGGGCAAATCCATCAGAATAAAGCGACGCTCTCGAGCTTCTCACGGATAACTTATCTGTTCCTTCGTAAAGTTCTTCCAGTGTTCTTCTAAAGCTCTCTCGAAAGTTTCTCTGGTGAGTTGAAGCATTTCTTTTGCTTGATTTCTCTGATCTACAGTCGTCAACTTACATACATTCTTGTGGGATTTGCTCAGCGTTTCGCGACAATGTCTTACGAGGGAAGGAGGAGAAACTACGAGGATTCCAACACCGAGGGCGTAGCCACCGGGGAGGACAACTACAGCGGCGGCTATGGAGGAGGAAGGAGCAGGAATTCTTCCGGCTACGACGACAATGAGGGTGGATACAAGGCCAAATCCGACGACTACGGCAGTGGAGGTGGTGGCTATGGCGGGAGAAAGTCCGACGGCTACAGCAAGAAATCTGGCGACTACGACAACGAAGGTGAAGGCTACGGGAGAAAATCCGATGACTACTCCAGTGGATATGGCAAGAAATCCGACGATTACAGCGGTGGAGGCTACGGGAAAACCTCCGACGAGTTCAGCACCGAGAACTATGATTCGGAAAAGAAGAGCAATGAATTTGGAGGCTACGGAGAGAAGAACGATGAATTTGGAGGCTATGGAAAGAAGAGCAGCTATGGTGACCGAACGAAGAAACCGGAGGAGGAAGACTACACTCAAGGAGATGGCTATGGTGGGCGGAGTAAGAAACAAGAGGATGGCAATTACGATCAAGGTTCCGGATATGGTGTCCGAAAGGACGATGAGAGTGACTATACAAGGAAAAACCAGGAAGAAGAAGAGTTCTCGGTGAAGGAGAAACTGGACGATGCCGAGGACGACGTCAAGGAGCACAGGAGGCACGAGAGAATTGGCATTGTTGGAGGAGTGGTTGCTGGAGCTTATGCCGCGGTAAGAGGAAAACGCTTTTCTTCTTCTTGTTCTTGAAGATGGTCAATGGTTTGTTCTTTCAGTATGAAGCTCACGAGGCCAAAGTGGATCCCGAGCATGGAATAAGGCACAAAACCGAGGCCGGCATTGCTGCTGCTGTGGCGACTGGATCTGGCGGGTACGCGATTTACGAGCACCACGAGAAGGAGGAACGCAAGGACGGCGTGGAAGAACTGGAGGATCAAGAAGAAGGAGTCACAAAGAAGAAGCACTGGTTTAGCTAAGAGATCTCCACGATTTCAAGCTCTGGGACATATTTCGCTTTCCAGGGAGCTATCACACCACTTTGTAGAAAGAAGGCGATAAAGGTCAAAGAAAAAGGACTATGGTTTTGGTTTATATGCTATGAGAATAAATGGAAGATCAAGATGGTTCGCTCCAATATTTCTGGAGAGAAAACACAGATAAGAGTTCACTTGGCAACACGTGGATTTCTTTTGGTGTTTCGGGTTGGAATTTGGAGTCGTGTGCGCGGCAGTAAACAAGGCTGGTGAAGAAATTTCTTCCTAGCGACGAATCTTTTCCTTGTTTTCACGCTGGATTGGCCTCGCAGGAGAGGGTGCAATCTTGTTGGAATTGATTCGATTGCCAAGGTTTCCTGTGTAGAGGGTGAATCCTTTCTACTCAAGATTTTGGGTAAGAATCTTTGTCCAGCACAGTAAACTCAGGGACGATAAAGCTCAGGGATGATAAACTCGACCCCATTGCGGAAGTTTGGTATCGTTCGTGCAGAGTATGATCTATATTCTACGCGAAAAATAATCCCAGATGGATGCGTCGGTGGAGATTTACCATGCATGAATGTGGATGAATTGGTCATCGCCGGGCCCCTTTAAGAAAATCACTACTCCGTTTGGTGGCCTTCACGAGCACGAGAGAGACATCGTAAAGCTTTTATCGCGCGGGTGGTATATGCGTATACATTTCGTGGAGATATGCTTGCTGGAACTTGCAGGTGTCGGTTGCTCTGTGTGTGGGAACCGGCTGTAGGAGTTTACTCGTCGATCCGCGGGCAAATCTATCAGTATAAAACGACGCCCTCGAGCTTCTCACGGATATATCGGCCAGGAAAAGTTCTTGCATAGTTCTCTCGAAAGTTTCGAAAGTTTCTCTGGTGAGTTGAAGCATTTCTTTCGCTTGCATTCTCTGATCTACAGTCCTCAACTTACATCCATTCTTGTGGTAATTTCGCAGCGTTTCGCGACAATGTCTTACACGGGAAGGAGGAGTAACTACGACGATTCCAACACCGAGGGCGTAGCCACAGGGGAGGACAACTATAGCGGCGGCTATGGAGGAGGAAGGAGCAAGAATTCTTCCAACTACGACGACAATGAGGATGGATACAAGGCCAAATCTGACGACTACGGCAGTGGAGGTGGTGGTTATGGCGGCAGAAAGTCCGACGGCTACAGCAAGAAATCTGACGACTACGACAACGAAGGTGAAGGCTACGGGAGAAAATCCGATGACTACTCCAGTGGATATGGCAAGAAATCCGACGATTACAGCGGTGGAGGCTACGGGAAAACCTCCGACGAGTTCAGCACCGATTCGGAAAAAAAGAGCGATGAATTTGGAGGCTATGGAAAGAAGAGCGATGACGTTGGAGGTTATGGAACGAAGAGCGACGACTACAGCTATGGTGACCGAACGAAGAAACCGGAGGAGGAAGACTACACTCAAGGAGATGGCTATGGTGGGCGGAGTAAGAAACAAGAGGATGGCGATTACGATCGAAGCTCCGGATATGGTGTCCGAAAGGACAACGAGTCGATGGATGACAGTGACTACACAAGCTCGAAAATGCAGGAAGACGTGAAGGGGAGACTGGACGATGCCAAGGCGAGCCTTGGCAGTGCGGGAGGCATGGTAAGAACAAAAAAAAATTGAATTTTTTCTTCTTTTTCTGGATCAATGTTTGTTCTTTCAGTATGAAGCCGGAGCAAGGAACAAAACCGAGGCTGGATCTGGCGGGTATGCGATTTACGAGGACCGCGAGAAGGAGGAAAGCAAGGACGGAGAACTGGAGGATCAAGAACAAGGAGACAAGAAGAAGAGGCACCACTTTTTTAATTAAGAGATCAAGCACCGAAAGTGGCTCTTTTGCTTTCCAGAATCACCACCACTTTGTGGAAAGAACGATGATAAAGATCAAAGATCACTATATAGTTAGCGATTTGTATGGTTTTTAAAATAAGTGGAAGATCAAAGCTATGGTGGAATCATGATGGCCTTGTGACCAAGCTTTTGTTTCGCTCCAATATTTCTGGAGAGAAAACGCAGATAAGAGCTTTGTTTCACACTTGGCAACCACGAGACGCCACGTGGATGGTATATCCGGGCGGCAAAATAGGTGTGTGATGCTTGTTTGACGAACTCGTGAGGTTCGTGTAGTTTTTCTTTTTTTTCCTCTCTTGGTTTTGGGATTGGAAATTTTTGGGTTTTTCTGGATTGGAGCTTGGAGGCATGGATCATCAAGCTGATGCCCAGCGCACCGATCTCATGACAATCACTCGGTTCGTGCTCAACGAGCAGAGCAAGCATCCCGAGGCTCGCGGCGATCTCACCATTTTGCTCAGTCACATTGTTCTCGGATGTAAGTTCGTGTGCTCGGCAGTGAACAAGGTGGGCGAACAGATTTCTTCCTAGCGATTGCAATCTGGGAATCTTTTTCCTTTTTTGTTTCAGGCTGGATTGGCCAAGTTGATTGGCCTTGCAGGAGAAACCAATGTCCAGGTGAGTTGGAATTGGAAACTTCGATTCGATTGCAAGGTTTTCCGTACATTTTCCTGTACAGGGTGAAGAACAGAAGAAGCTGGATGTGTTGTCAAACGATGTTTTCGTCAAGGCGCTTAGCAGCAGTGGAAGAACTGTGAGTAAAAATCCATGCTTGCCTACTTTCTAAGGATTTGCTCTTTGTTTTGCTTAGAATGTTCTTGTGTCCGAGGAGCTGGAGGAGGCGATCTTTGTGGAGGCATCTCACCGTGGCAAGTAAGTAAACTATAACTCAAACGTCGCTAATTCTTTTCTCGACTGATCTTAGATACTGTGTGGTTTTTGATCCTCTGGATGGCTCGTCTAACATCGACTGTGGTGTCTCGATTGGAACTGTAAGCCCTTTCCACTAGATTGATCGTCAAAACCAGGTTTTGCTGCAGATTTTCGGGATTTTTCTACTGGATCATGACAACGCAGGCAGCAACGATGATGTTCTCAAGCCTGGGAGTGAAATGGTCGCGGCTGGGTATTGCATGTACGGTAGCTCATGCACGGTAAGAACTTCACAAACTTATAAAGTTTAATGCTTTGTTCTTCTCTTAGCTCGTGTTTTCTACTGGATCGGGCGTGAATGGGTTTACTCTCGATCCATCCCTGGGAGAATTTATATTGACACATCCTGACATTAAGGTAAGTTCGTAAAAGATGATTCCTTTCATTATTACAATGGATGATTGTGAGATGCCCAAGATTGATGATTTTTTCTTTGCAGATACCAAAGAAGGGAAAAATTTATTCCGTGAATGAGGGCAATGCAAAGAACTGGGACGAGCCCACTAGATTGTAAGTTTAGTGTTTTCTTTTTAAAAAGTAAGATTTTGATTTATGACAGATATGTGGAGAATGCAAAGTTCCCCAAAGATGACTCGTCACCAAAGTCGCTCAGATACATTGGCAGGCAAGATTACTCTAAATTTTATATCGAATTCTCAGTTTTTAAGAATATTTGATCTTTAGTATGGTAGCTGATGTCCATCGCACACTTTTGTACGGTGGAATTTTCATGTACCCAGCTGACAAAAAGAGCCCCTTTGGAAAATTACGGTGAGAAAGAACGCTTCCCCGGAATTTTTTTTTTAACTCACTCTTTTTTTACCAGAGTTCTCTATGAGGTGTTTCCAATGTCCTATCTCGTTGAGCAAGCCGGGGGTCAGGCTTTCACAGGGAAAGAGCGGGTAAAATTTAGCTTTTTAACTCCCGTTTGTTCTAAAATCTATGTTCCTAGGCACTCGATCTAGTCCCCAAACACCTCCACGAGAGGTCTCCAATTTTCTTGGGGAGCTACGACGACGTAGAGGAGATAAAAAAGCTGTACAGTGCAACCATCGCTTAAACTATTGATTCAATCTCAAGCGAAGTCAAAACAATAAACCTGTGGTGGAAAAAATTCTCTTCAACGATTTGCCTTGGCAACACGTTCGATCTCGTCCTTCTTTTTGATCGCATAGCTGATGCAAACAAGCACAGAAGGGGCTCTTAGTTTCTTTCAAAGCATGAGCTAGAACAATGTAGGAAGTACCTGTTGGACGATCCCTTTGCAGCATTCATCAGCTCGTCAGCAAGGCACTCGGCGATGGTCTTGATGTTACGGAAAGCACTCTCGCGAGCTCCAGTGGTGAGCAAGTAAATCGCCTGATTGACACGCCTCAAAGGGGAGATATCCACAGCCTGACGCCTGATAACACCAGCGGAACCAATACGGGTAGCATCTTCGCGAGGACCACTGCAAAGAGAAAGAGAGAAAATCCAAAACTGTCCTGGAATCCTGCTCACTTGAACCTCTATACCTGTTGATGATAGCATCGACAATAATTTGGATCGGGTTGGCGTCCGTGAGCAAGTGAATGATCTCCATTGCATGCTTCACAATGCGACCAGCCATCAGCTTTTTTCCGTTGTTCCTTCCGTGCATCATCAAAGAGTTTGTAAGCCTGGAAAGGAACACAAAAAAGGAATTTTCACAAGAGCTCGACAGCGAAAAAGGAGATTTTGATCGCACACCTCTCGACAATTGGACACTGCGCCTTCCTGAATCTTTTCTTGGAGTAGCGCCCAGCGGTGTGTGGAACATACGTAGCACGCTTAGCCGAAATGTAGTCTTCGAGCGAAATATCGTGCACCTGGAATGGAAACGAAATCCCGCTCTCGGGATCAATCGATCAATCGATCGGCGCGCGCGTACCTCGATCTCCTCGTACGTCCAGGCATTGAAGAGCTTCACATCGGCGAGGCCAGCCGGCTTGGGCTTCTCGACTACCGGCGCCGCCATGTTGTCCCGCTAAACCCTACAAAACCCAAGAACCCTAAAATTCCTTCGAGCGGTCCTGTGTTCGATTCCAAGGCCCAGCAGGAAAAAAGAAATACAATTTTTTTTTCCTTCGTTTTTCCCGTTACGCTGTGTTCTTCGTGGTCTATGGCGGCATTCTTGTCCAAGCGCGTTGGCTGCGTTAAGGAGGCATTGGCGATCCTCGGGAAAGCCATCGCGACCTCCTGCATTGCTCGCCGGAAGCGCGGCCATCGCTTTCACGGAAATTCCATTAAGCATCTTTCGAGCGAGCTTAGGTTAAGACCGCGGCACTGTAGCAGCGCTAGAGATCCTCAATTCTAGGGAGATTCCATCGCCGGATGCAAGAGGCGTGCTCCAGTGCTAGGGACGATTTCTTTTTCTTCTCTCTCTCTCACTCTCTCTCTTTTTTTGGTCGCCTGCTTGCACGACGCAAGAGGGTCAGATCTAGATTCGTGCGCTCATTGCCGCTGGGACGCTGATATTCCCGCGGCCTTTCACTTTCGCGCGAGTGCTCCTCCCTTTCTTCCCTTTCTTTCGATCCAGATTCCAGGTGTGGAGAGAGGGGCTAAAAATTGGGAGCTAAGGGTGGATCAGGGAGAGCGATGATCGTCGTTTTGCGCGGCTCTCTCGGATTGCTTTGTCAGCGGGAGAAAACGTCAAAGACACGGCTTTGGAACTTGTGAGAGCCGGCCATCGTCAAATTTGACCCAGGAGCGCGACTGGGCGTCGCGAGATCTCTCGGCTCTGTGAGGTAAGCTTTTTCTTTCTCAGAGGAGGCCTAGCAGCAGCAAAAATGATACTCAGTCTTTGGGGAATTCCTCCAGGGTCTCAAGGAAGAAGGATGTTCTTCTCCAAGAAGAAGCACCGGAGCAGCATGAAGCCCGTGCTCTACGACGACGAGGAGTGTATCAGAGTCGTCAAAGGTACTAGCAACAGGATAGAGCAGCTCACAGGTGTTGGGAGCTG